CGCTGGGGGCGCGGGAGCCGGCGGACGCGGTCAGAGTGCAGGTGTGTGCCCGGGAATGGCCCGGCCCGGAGCCTGAGCGGAGGGGAGGGAAACGTGGGAGCCCTGCAGAGCGTTCTGCTGAGCTCCCAGATCTCCTCTGCAGTCGCGCAGAGCCTCCCCGTGTGTTCTCCCGCCCTGCCTGCTCCCCTGGCTGCTGTGGCAGGCAGCGAAGCTTTGGAGTCACTGGGCACGTGCAGAGGAGCCTTGTCGCTGTGATGGATTGTACTGAGTGTGCCCTCCGCCACGCCGGCTTTATTACCCGTTCTGTTCCGGAGAGCGAGCCATGGCCTGCGTGCTGTTCTTTTTAAAGCTTTTCCATTGTTCTTGTGCCACGTGCATCCAGGTTTAGAGCAATGTTAGCAGAACCATCGATAGCACTTAGGTTTAAATACAACTGACGTTTGTATTTGGCTCCTCTTGAGAACGAAGATAGCCTGGAATTAATGGGCATTTTAGCTATGGAGCTGTTTTCCTTAACATAGGATTGTGTGTTTTCCCCTGTTTTCTGGTGTTTCCAAATGGCAGAGCGGTGCTTGCACACACTGAGTCCCTGCTTCAATGCAGAGCTGTGCAGTTGTCAGTATTTCTCCACGAATGTGAAAAGGACTGGGGTACTGGGTAAGAGTTTTAAACACAACTGAAAGAGGTTAGATTTAGATTTATAAGAAAGAAATTTCTCAACGTGGGGGTGGTGAGTCACTGGCACAGGTTGCCTAGAGAAGATGTAGGTGCCCCATTCCTGGAGGTGTTCAAGGCCAGGATGGGACTTGGAGCAACCTGGTCTAGTGGATGGTGTCCCTGCCCATGGCAGTAAGAACTGGAAAACCTTTAAGATCCCTTTCAATTCAAGCCTTTCTGTGATTCTACTGACCCAAAAACCAGTTTGTAGCACATGGGTATTCCTGCTCACACATAGGTGAAGCCTGATAGGTTTGGAAGAAGCTCATCCTGTGTTGGATCTTCTCTGATGTAGTTTGATGAATGATGCAAGCTAGAATAAACTGATGCTAAAATTTGCAGTAGTGGCATTCCTCCCCCTTCCCTGTCCTCCAGAGCATTGCTGCTTTGCTCTTCCCCTGAACAGGCAAAATGTGGGGGTTTTAAACTGGGCTAGGGATGTGGTTGGCTTAAATCCAGCCTTATTATGGCCAGATTATTGGGATGTGCAGTCTAGTCGTTACAGTCAGGATTGTCACTTCTATTGTACATTCATTCTGGTAAGATGTGAAGTGGTCAAAACATTGCTGCCACAGCCTCTGCTGCTCCGATACAAGCCTGTGGGTATGCTCTTACTTCCTATTGCAGGAAGGCTCCTCTTTTTTATTTAATTGATCCCAGAACAGCTTGATGAGGTGGCAAAAAATATTCCTGAGATTCTTTCTTTGTTCATTTTTATTGGTGTGTTTTGTTAAGGAGTGTTTGTGGGTAGGGAAAGTGAGGAAAAATATCTGCTGTTCTACATTAAACATGTGTCCAGTATAACATACATGGTGTTTTCTGGGGATTTCCTGGAATACAGAGGATAAGTACAACAGCTTCAGGCATGCTACTGCATGAAATACCTTTTACTTTAACCGTACAAATAAAGAGGATGCCCAGATAATCTTGTTTCTTGCATTAGTTCTTCCTTCGGGTGGAACACTCTGCAGGGGTGGTTTGCCCTGCCTGACTCACTAGGTTCATGTCTTTAAAATCTTCCATGGTTCTTACATGGAACATGGAAAGCATGTTACACAAGCCTATGTAATGCTTTGCCTGTGTTAGCAGTCGTTTTTCAAATTATAACATGTTTTACTGGTGGTGCTGTTTAATTCTTGGTTTGATCTCTCTGGGTGACAGAAGTAGATGAATTTGCATTGGTTTGTCTGGTATAAAATCCCTGAAGCACTTGCACAGTTTGAAGTCATTGGGACTATTTGGTCCCTTACAGTTAAGAAAAAGATGAAACTGGTTGGAAAAGGCAGTTTGCTTGTTTAATCAGCAGTGGTTTTGATTCTTCTCTACAATATTGTTGGAAGATGAGCTGGAAGGCCCCCAGCAGATAATTTTGCTTTGAAAGCCAGCTTTGTCTCAACTCCGGTGAGCTGAGGAACAACTGTAGGAGTTCTCTTTTGGATGCTATTACTATTGCTTGCTGCCTTGGTACTGACTTTTTAAGGGAAAAATATTTCCCTTAAAAAAAGTAATTAAAATTTATATGTCATTAAAAAGCTCAAATTAACACATTAGCCTGCATTCTATGCAGGTCATGGTCAGTTCTACTGTTTTGCTGTTAGAAGGAATTTGGGTATTATTAGTTTAATTATTTTCATAAAACTGAACAAAGTATTTCTTAATTTTTTTCTTATTATATTTTTTTTTTCATGGGCTCAGTGGAGCAGTCTTGATTTTGAGATGAAAGGAGAAACATCCAAGGCAGTAATTTTTTTTGTTTTGCATGAATATGTAGTTTTTCATGTGAATCTATTGGCTGCAACATTATTTTACCATTCCAGCAATTTAGGCCACATAAACCACTAGTGAACAGATCTGAAGATTTGAAAGATTGGAACCTTTCTACAGGGATACAACAGCAAAACTGATACTAAAAACCATCAGAATGGTCTTGAGTGTATTGTAATGCAGAATGGTGCATTACTGGTCTCTCCTCTTTTTGTAAGAGTTCAGAAGGGACACCACTGATAGAAGTATGCACTTTGCCAAAACACTTGACATTTTCAGAATGCTTTGTTGCTTTCCTTATTCTCAGCTCCCCAAAGATGCAGATACATCTTATTAATCCTCTCTGTTCTCAGGAAGAGACTGCCTCAGAAGGATGTCTCTGCTTAAGGATTTGTTTCTCACTACTTTGAAGTCAAAAGAAAAACTGACACTAACTTTTTTTTCTCTTCTTGTTTTTTTTTATTATGATTAATTTTTTGCCTCTAAAGAAACAGTTACTTTGATTTCAGTAAGTGGTGTGTCCAGCTCAGCTGGAAGAAGAGCATGAGCACACAGCATTCCTGCCAAAAAATAACAAATCTCTTTTTCTTTTACCTCTAGGGCTGGGTCCGCTCTGTCCGATCCCAGAAGGAAGTTTTGTTCCTGCACATAAATGATGGCAGTTCTCTGGAAAGCCTCCAGGTGGTTGCTGATCCCAGCCTGGAAAAGAGGTAGGTCCATTTGAAATAACTGGAGAAATATATGTGCTGAGCTGTGCTTGGAGGTGTTTGCTTTGGCCTCCTTCCCTATGCCAGGGACTCACCAACCACATTTGTCCCCACCAAGAACCCCTTCTAATAAATACCTGTCAGTTTTCTCCCCACTTGTCCAACATTCCTGGCTTGTCCTAGATTCTTCTATAGCTTTGTTAATCTCTTCCCATTCACACCTCTGCATTTAATGATTTTTCATTTGATCTCAAGTGATCCAGCTAAATTAACAGAAATGTCTTTTCTGAATGTAGTTGTATCAGCACCTAGTTAAGCTGTTGTTTTTTCTTGATTTCTTAGAGACCTGACTTTCGGAAGTGCAGTGGAAGTGCAGGGGAAGCTTGTCAAAAGTCCTCATAGGATGCAAAACATGGAGCTGCAAGCTGAAACAATTCATGTGGTGGGACCTTGTGATATTTGGGTATGTCACTGCAGCAGGAGGGATATGACTGCTGGAAATCAATTTTTGGAAGGTCCAAGTATACAGTAAAACGTGCTTGAAACTGTATTTTCTTTAAGTCTGAGTGGTCCTGCAGACTTTGTCAGCAGTGTCTGTAGGCTGCATGAAGGGAGAAGCACTGGATCACCATGAAAGCTCATTTCTGGGGCAGAGCTGTTTCTTCAGGGAAAATGTGCACAAGCTGACAGTGTAGAGTTTGCCTTTATCCCACTCTGAAGCACTTATCTGTGCAAGTGGCTTACCTGGTAAGTCTGGCTTGGATATAAATTGGAGAAACAGTAGAACCGGCAAGATGCTTCAGGTTGTGCAGCTGGAAGAACCATATCTGGCACAGGCACATTCAGAACTGGCTTTCTGTTGCAGCAGTGAGGGGAACAGCTGGATTTCAGTGGGGCTCAACCTCCGCAAAAGGTGGAGCATTTTATAGTGCTAATACCTCCTCTTGTGTTCATGGTTCTTGGTCTTCTGTAAGCACTGTAAAATACACAAAATAACCAGAAAAGATAGGCAAAAACATCTAGTTATTCTGTGCTGTGTAATGATGACTGAGTTTAAGTAGGGACAAATGGCATTCTGTGAATAGCAGTAAAACTGCATGGACTCCCAAGTTCTCATCCTGTTACTTTGATTTCCTTGTTGTTTTCAGTCATTTCCCCTGAAAATGAAGGAGAGGCACCCGCTGGAGTATGTCCGACAGTTCCCTCACCTGCGATGCAGGAGCAACACGCTGGGCGCCCTCCTGCGAATCCGCAGTGAAGCCACTGCAGCCATCCACTCCTTCTTCCAGGTAGTCCCTTCTGTACCAAGCCTCGTGTGTAGAACACTTCACTCAGGCTGGCTTTATGGGAGCAGGTTAGGAGGGAAGGAGCATGGTATCTTGCCTGCAGGGTATGGATTTTGCTGGGCCTTGGCCAGACTGTTGCTTATGATCAGGTTAGCGCATCTGTGGCCTGTCAGTGTCTTTCCACCCATTTCCTGTTATTTATCCCTTTCACAGAGTTGCAGTACAGTTGTCTGTGAGTGTGTGGTCTGTGGAACACAACATAATATGGACTTATTCAACCCATCCTCTGCAGTGACCTTATGGTCCTTGGACAGAAGCCTCCTCCCACATGGAAAAATCTGTGATACAGGAGCACAGACAGGCTGACTCAGGGCTTCATGTTATTCTCAGTTCTTGCCTCTTATTGCAGTACAAGTCTGGATGCTGACATTAGGAGACTCCTGTTCTGATTCATTTGAAACTGATGGGTGGAAGCCCCTCGTGTTTTCTGAATATGTCACTCTTAAGCTGTTGGCGCAGCACAGGCATTGTGCAGGCAGTGAATTGACTCTGATGCCAGTTGTCACATAGAGACCATGTGATTCTTTGTGAGTAGACAAAGGAAGGTTACAAATCTTCCAACACACCTGAGCTTTTCTTTAAAGCTGTTACTGGAAATAAGCATGTTTTAGTTTAGATAAGCTGCCTTTAGTTAGAATAGGGTCATACTCAGAGCATTCTGATGGCTAAATTCGTATCTAATAATTAGTGTGGCCCAAGGAACAGTTTAGAAATGTCAAGGTGAATTCCAGGTCCCACGTGTGGTGGTCTTTGTTGACTGCAAGTTGCAAAGAAGGCTTGCTGACTCTAAGAGCTCTCTGTGTGGAAGTGCATGGCGTTTGGATGACTTTTGTGGGTTTCATTGGGTGTCGGGGGCGTGTTTTATGTTTTTTTTAAGAGAAATCCCGTGTCAGGTAAAGCTGTGGGTTTCAGGATTGTGCCTAAGACAGAAGCCAGCTCTGTTGGGAGTCAGTCTGTGCTGCTGTCGAGCCACTAGATGGCATTGCCTACAACGGTTTGTGCTTCCAAACCTGGACACCGAAGGCAGCCCAGATACAAACCCATCTTATTCAGGCTTTGCTTCTCCAGATCAGCTCCTGCTTAGGCCCTGACATACCTTCCTGTTTACAGTGCTCAAGAGCAGAGCTCTGTTAAAAAATAGAATTTGTCATCAATTTAGCAGTGGCAGCTACACTTAAGTTTTTAAAGGAATAAGAAAGATTTGGTCCCAGACCTGATATTTACAAATGCTTGTGTGAGAACTCTCCTAAGCATTCTCCAAGGAATGTCTAGGGTTTTATTCCATTTCTAATGGAAGGAAGTCTTAAAATTGCCACTTGCATTATCTCAAGAGTATTACAATTTTCTATTTGTTAATGTCAAAATATACCATAGCTACAAAGTTATTCAAATTACTCAATAGTATTCAAAATATTCAAAGTCAGTCAAATTCTTTGAGCATCTCCACTCACCAAAGCTGTAAGGAGCCTAATGGTGGAAGAAAATAAGTGGAGTTTGAATACACAAAATTATCAAGATTCTCTGTAACTTTAAGAACCTCTATTTTTTAGCCTGTTCATTTCCAGGAATGAATGATGAGTGCCAAATGCCTTTGGTTTGGATGTTGAAAGCTAAAATGTCCTCTTTAAATCTTCTTCTGAGAATTGTGGTCCATGTGGGATAGGAACATTGCTCCTAGGCACAGTAAGATAGTTGCATTGTGAATGGCAACTTCGTTCTGCACATGAAGTTCCAGGTTTGTGGGAGCCAGTAATGCAACTTGAATTATTTTAAAAGCTTTTATAAGGGAAATTATCCAAGAGGTTTTTAGGGGATTCTCTTATTTCAGATCTGTGCAGTTTGCTTTACTTTCCAAAGCATTTACGGGATCATCTGTGTGAAATCTGCTTCTTTGCAGCAACTGCAACCACTGTATGAGGGATTTAGGCATTTTTCAAACATCTCCAGTAGAGCTGGGAGGCCATGTAACCAGCAGGGCTCTGAATATGCAGTGAACTGTGTCAGAGACATGCATTTTGTACTGGTAAGCTGAAGCTTCCTCCTCCAGGCAAAGCAAGTAGTTCCAGATCCAAAACTTCCTTCTGTGCAGTAACTGGAGCCAAGTGAAGAGCCAAGGTCTTTGCACCTGTAACCAAGGTAGCCTGTAGCTGACTGCAGGGACTTTGCTCCCTCTTGGTTGTGTTACTGTATCCCCACAAATGCATTGTATGTCCATAAGAGGTTTTTGTTCCAAATTATTTTTAGTTTGATTCTCAGAATGGGCAGTAAATACTACTCCTGTCTTCCTAGCCCCTTAATGAGCTGGTTAAGGACCATGATGTCTCACGTGACTGACTGAATTGTAATATTCTGGTAAAAGCTATGAAGCTAAGATGTATCCATCCACTGAATATTGTGTGGCAGCTGTTTTAAAAGCCTAAGGTTGGACTGCAGAGAAATCCAGAGAACAGGGGCTCTTTCTTCATGCAGCCTTACTGATGTCAGAGGCCTTTGCTGGATTTATGAACTATTACATTCATGTAATACCTAGAATGTGACCAAGCCAGGGTATACCCTGTCTCTTAAAATCAGCTTGATTTCAGTATCTTAGCAGATGCAAGGCAGGATTGATACTTTACTGGTGTTTACTGGGTGTTTTTAATGTCTCTTTCATCTAGTCTGTGATTTCTGTCATCCAACACATTTGATCACTTCTTTTAATGCAGCACACGAAGACTGTCCTTTGCCTAACCACTGCCTTCCAAAAAGCTGAAAAAAACAAAGTGTTGAGGTCATAGAGATGAATTTGATCAAAACTGCCCAAAAATATAAAATTGTGGAAGGAAGTGAGAAGAAAGGGGAATGGTGTGGAAATTGCCATTGCAAAAAAAAAAAAAAACAAAAAAAAAACCCTCATAGTAATGACATAAATCTCTCTTGGTTATGGAACCTAGAGGAGAACAGGTAGTAAACACTGATTTCTAAATCATCTTGGCATTTAGTTTGTCATCTGTCCCTGTAAGGCAGAAGCTGCACAAAAGACTACGTGTGCTGTCCTGGCTGGGATAATGGCCTAGTTATGTGTGCTGGTTGATGTCATCCTTCAGGGTGATGTTTGGAATCTTTAGCTTCTTAACTTTGCTGTTCTGTCTGTTCCAGGATAATGGGTATGTGCATATTCATACCCCCATAATTACATCCAATGACTGTGAAGGTGCTGGGGAACTCTTTCAAATTGAGGTAAGTTGGGTTGCATAAAATTTGTTTTTGTTGTTTTGGTTTTTTTGCAAAGGAATTCTTGAGTTATTCAAGGTTAGAGGAAATGTTTATCTTTATAAAACCCTTTTATGCAATATTGTGATTTTTTTTTTTTTAATATAGCAATCCTCTGCTTCAGCTAATAATTTAGACAGTTAAACAGATACATTATCTTTTATTTTATTGGTATTTGGTGCGTTAATCAGTACCTTTTGTACTGATGAGGTTGTTCCATCCCTGGTACTGTGGAAAAATTTACAGATGATAATGGAGGGAGGTGGAACATCTTAGGAAACAGAACGACGTGATCATAAGAGCCCGAGAGATGGGATGGATCATTCAGGACAGATTACTACACTCAAATATTTCTTAGCTTTGAAACAAAGAATATCATTAATCATGAGATAATCATCAAAAAAAAAAAAAAAGTCAGCAATACCTGAAACTCCTTTTCACCAATGTGTACATACAGGTTCCTCCCTACAAGCTACTCCTGTTGTATGTCACAATTCTCCCTCAATATTGTCAAGCCTCCCCATAACCACAAAGTACTGCCACAATCTATCATTATAAGAGTACTTCACATCATGGGTCGGAACCTCCTGTGAAACTGAAACACAGCCATGGCCACTAAGATCTCCCCCACAGATTTCTCATGATTCCTGAACCCACAGTCGTTAGTCATACTGCATCCATTAATTCCATCTGAATTTTATACTTCTGTATCTGAAATTCACTCTTCTGTCTCAAACAACGGCCTCCTTGCCACTTACATGTATTGGCTCCGGTTTTGTGGGTGATTCATCTGTGAGCAAAAGAAAAATTGTTGAGGTAGCAGTTACTTGCTATGGGATCACATCTTCCACTCTGCACGGCCTCATGACAAAAAAAGCTTCTGTCTACTTGTTCTCCAGGATCTCAAGGTCTAACCTGTGCTACCAGTGATTCCCTTCCAGACCAATACATGTGGCTCAGCTTTTTCCTTGCTGGGACAATAGGGTTGATTAGCTAAACGAAATTGTTCCTGTTTAATTGAGATGTCTTAATGCTACCCAGGGTTCACTCCAGGCTGTTGCATGCAAATTAAGACGTGGAAACAAGTGACACTTAATGATGGAAACATTATGCAGTTTGCAGCTGTACAATGTATTTCGTCTTCAGTACAAATTGTATCCACTTGAAAGCTGTAGAGGATGCAGGACTACAGCGTAGGTGGCTGGTAGTGACAGAAACCCTGATGCAAATGTTGAATGAGGTGCTAAATTGTCAGCCTGAAACTTGTATAAACTGGCTTTTACCTAAATGCATGGTTCAAGGCAGATATTTTACTCCTTTCCAGTGGGATTGCTGAGGTGCACATAATACCTGTCTTGGAGAAATGAAACTACAGCTGTGCTTGAAAGGTGTGCTGCAAGTGCCATGTCAGACCCCATTAAATGGCCTGTGCCATAAATGAAGGGCTTCACAAACCCACTTGCTGCTCGGGAGAGGGAAGTTCTCCCTGATTTCCTGTTTCTTCTTTGAGTACAGCTTCATTGTCTGGCCTCATTTAGGACTTAGTTTTGTTTCTGCAAAGCCCTGTTTACAATTGGTCCTGGCTAGCAGATATCTAAGACTGCATGCTATCCTGCTGGGATTGCTTCACTCCACTGGAGCAGTGACACTGTTTTTTGACAGTGAAAACGTGGGGAAGATGAAGCCTGCTTTGGGCCATGCATACGATGCTGTCAGACACAAAATAAGAATGACAGAAGGGTGTCAGACATAATAATAAAGGCCTGGTATTTGCAGCAAAGCCCAGAATCTTCATGTGCTTTTAACCAAATCAACTATCAGGACATTCTTTTCTGCTGTATTCAGTCACTTTTTAAACTAGCCTTTAATTCATTGGTTGAACAGGACAAGGGGGAATATAAATTCACGTTCCTCTTATATTTGAGAAGGAGCTAAGATTTCTGGTGATGGGAATTGATGAAAACAACCTCCAAATTATTCAGTTTCAAAAAATACTTAAATCCTGTTCCTTCAGTTTTAAGGTCTATCTTCTAGCTGAAACCAGAATTGGTGTCCTGTTACTCCTGAATTTGTAGTAGTTGTAGTACATCTACTGTTAAGAGGTTGGGATTTTTTCTGCCTTTGGGTTTAGGGTTTTTTTTAGCTCCCTTGGGCAGTACATAGAACTAATAGTCTCACCAGTTTGGCTGACCTGCTGCAGGTGGAGTAAGTTGAAAACTTTAGTTGAATAGCCTTCAGGACCTAAGTAGAGGCTGCTTTTGCACCACTGTGAACTATTGCCTTTAAATAGCTGTTTTCTCTAACTGGCAGAATTTTAATCCTCTGATTAAACATCTGATGGCTGCTCAGGCCTGTGCATTCTTTTGAAGTGATGGAAAGTGAAGAGAGTTGGAATATGTTTTTACATGTGAATTGGAGAGAGGGGGAAAAACGTATCTGAAGTTACAATGAAAAGGCTTTTTGAAATATGGTCTTTGATTCCTAAAACTCTTAATCCTGTAAGATTTGTATTTGTTTATATTTTCAGTTTCCTCATTACCTTTGTTTGGTTTTGGATGTGCTGATTAGTCTGTACATGGCTTTGGTTGGGATGCTCTCGTCTTAGGACTTGGGATGGGGGAGAATCCATATTCCCTCTCTACTGGGCGAATTAACTAAATCTTTTTAAAATTATGTACTCTAATGGTGAAGAGAGTGCAGAGGACATTTTAAATAATAAGTCGCAAGATGGTAACAACTCCAGAGGAAACTTCTCCACCTGGAAAGTGTGTAGGTTTGAGAAGAAACTGCCAGAATTGTGAAGACAGCTAGGCAGACCCTAACCCACACAGAGAACATCAGCAACACCAGCTTGTGGCTTTCTGCACTGTTGACAGTGTCTTCCTGTGGTGGGAGCGTGTAGGGGAGAAAGCATCTTGTTTGTGCTTCTTTCTTTAAAGTAAATATATTGAAACTACTAGAAGAGCTTTGACTGTTTAAAGCAGCATTTTAGTATCATACAAAGCAGGATGAGGTAATTCTTGAAATAGGGAGAACGCAAATCAGCAGGGGCAGATAGCCTTTACTCTATTTTAATCAGAAAATAATTTTCCCATACCAGCAGTTTTAGCACCTCCACCTCAGCACAGATTCTTTCCTTGGTTTTGAGGGTTTTTTTGCTTGTTTTTCTTTTTTATTTCTTCTGAAGTCTGAAATTCTTAGCAGCTTTGTATGTTGCAAGAAACTTTACCCAGTCTCCTTCTGTGGCTGCATCCTAGGAAATCTGCCTTGCTTTTTTCTTTGTGACCCAGCTGTATATCTGTTTCCTGCTGTTTTCAGTAGGTTCCCACTCTGTGTGCAGTGTTGAAGACTCCCTGTTTTCTGAGTCTCTTGATCTCTTTTCCACTTTGCTCCCTGGAAAATTTTCTCTCAGCTCTCAGCTGCTGTGGAGAAAGGTGGAGGCTTCTGTGCTCTGTAAGAACCTGTCTGGCCCAGGACACTCCAGCTGGTTCAGTGTAGGTCTCCACAGCCACTTTCCCTGTTTCCCAGCTGCAGCCTCTTAAGAGAGCTCAGCCTGAAGTGAGTTTCAAAGCATAACAATTGTATCATGCATTCACAGCTCCTTAAAGTAGATCTCATATGCAGTTTTTATTGTCTGTGGCTGTATTCCTTTCTGGGACTACTCTCTGCATGTAAGGAGTGCTGCACTGATGGCTCAGCAGAGGTAAAATGTGATCTCTGTGAGGCTTGTCTCTTTCCACACACCCACCTCATGGCACCTGAATGGTGTTTGCCTGAGCCCAGAGTCTGGATCAGGCCATTTCAATACATTAATGGATATTTAACTGTAAACCTGAAGAAGCACCCAGATATAGTTCTTCTCTAAATTGCATCTGGAGATCATACGGTGTTGGGCTTTCAGGGTTTTTTTTGCCCCTCGCTCACAGGAGTGAATGTCAAAGCTTTTAGGTTCCTGAAGGTGAGGGTTGATGGCTGTGGCACCAGCAATATGTACCTGCTGCTGAAGATGCAGAAACTTACTCCTTCCACCCCGTTGGTACTACTGAAAAATATCCTTGTCAGCACTGAAGAAAGTTTGGATCTGCTGGGGAGAATCACAATTAAACGCAACAGTGTCAGTGTCTGTAAGGTGTTTCCCCTTTTAGAGATGTGTGATAGTCTGGGAGGCAGCCAGTTTCTGGGAGACTGGTGCTTCAGAGATGTGCTTGGCAAGGATCAGGGTAGGCTGGACCTGAGATGAGGGACAGCTTGCTTTTTCATGTTCTAGCTCTCCCATTTTCTGCTCATTTCTCCCATTTTCTGCTCATTTCTACCTGATTCATATCCGGCCGTCCAGTCTGTATTTATGAGACGTTATGCATTCCAGTACATATTTATGAGATGGGTGTCTCAGCAGAACCAGCTGCTATTGTTCAGTGCAAGTCCAGCTGATCAGAATTAGGACTGGAATTGCAAGGAGGACTTCTTGGAAGTTAGGAGTTTTGCAGGGGTTGTCTAAAAAAGAAAATCCAGTCATGTTTATAATGGGGTGTCACAGAGAGAAAATCTGGATTAAAGATGTGTTTCTGGGAAGCTGCAGCAGCATGGAAGTGTGGGTCTCGGCTAGAGCTACAGCAATGATTTTTATGAGCTTTTCAAGTGTTCTCTGATCCCTTCATGCTTTTGGCTTGCATAGAGTGTAAAACAGAATCAAACAGTTTGTACTCTCCTGAAGCTAATTGCCTCAAGGAGAAGTTAATACAAGACTGACATCAAAGGGAATAATTTTAAATTAAATCATTAGACATTTGAGGAGATGGAGAACAAAACAGGTACTAAATCCAGTTGTTCTTGTATTTAGAATGAGAATAAAAGCCTTTGAAGTTCACGTCAAATACTAGTATGTTCATAGCACATTTACTTTGAGGCACCAAGTTGCTTCATACAGGTTCCCTCTCCCTTTTCACCCATTGTAATATGGATAGTTTTTTTGACTCTGGGATGGAAAGAGCTTGAAAGGAAACCCGTAATTCCCCTCCCAGTCTTTTATCAAGTCCTTGTTTTGGGATTGGGAATTGGGATAAGTGTCTATCTAATTGAAGTAAAAGCACCACAGTGTTGTTGCTTCGTTTTGCTAGTCATGGGCATGAAAACCAATCTCTGTCAGTAGTGAATGGATAGTGTCTCCTGCCATTCATTTGTCTTGTACCAGTGGCTGTGGTTTCATATAATAAAAAAGCCACCTTGATTGAAAAGGTTGAGCATGAATCTGGGACACAGGCACTTGGGAATATTGGCCTGTGCTTGAATGTGTCAAGTGGAGGAATCACCTCCAGTGGCTTAGCTGATACTTGTTCCTGTGAAATGTGCAGCTGCTAATTATGGAATCTCCTCTTGCTGAAGGTATCCCTTCTGAACAAAAAGGGAGGCATTTAATTTTTCCAGCATAGAAAAATTTTCTGCATGAGCTGTGCTGCAGCTCACAACACCCAGTTGTATCAAGTATTGTGCCTTAGGATGAGGAAGAGCAAGTGGGCAGCTGTGGAGAGGGGAGGAGATCAGATAGTGATGGGGCAGTACAATTTTATATAAATATTGCTGTGTTTGCTCTTCACCTTCTGTCAGAAGCCATTCAGGAGCTTCTCACAATGCAGACAATACATCTGGGGGTCTCTGTGACCTCTCAAACAGGCTGCAGGTTTTCAGAAGCCCAGCTGAGTTGTAGATGGTCTCACTTTCTCCAGTCACTTACTGTGTTTCTATTTTCCTTATGTCTCTCTGAGATCACATCTGATTTAGAGAATGAAAAATGACACAAAGTTGTTATAAATAAACCAGGCACCAGCTCCTGGAGACAGCTGTATCCTGTTTGTGAATTTGGGGGGAAGCACTGAGATTTTGTGGCTGATTTCTTGTTCTTTTCTTGTTTCCAGTTTGTCTCTTTCTCATTGTTTAGAAGTTGCATCCTACAGGATTAGGTGGAATTTTTCACTGGTAGAATAAGGAATGTCTGAACAAAGCTTGCAGGGAAAGAGAAACCATGAAAGAGAAACCAGAAATCATGGCTCTTCAGTGTTCTGGCTATGGTTCTGGGGCTGCAGTGTGTGATTGTTTATTAATATCCTTATTGTTTTTGAGCAAATGCTCTGGGTTTATTTGATGAAAACAGCAGGGACCTGCTTCTGCATCCTTGGAGTTTGGTGTTTGATTTTTTCAGAACCACAAAACCTCTGAAACAAAGGAAGCAGTTTTGGAGTTGCAGCCACAAATTGTCATCTTTGCATTGATCTCTGTGGAACAAGGCAAGCTTGCTTTTTTCTTCAGTGTGATGCTGTGAAGAGATAAAACTGCCTTGTGATCTGAGGTTTTTGGAAGTCACTGTTTTATCTTTGAGATGAGCAGCAGAGCTTTTTGAGAACAAAAGCAACACCTTCAAGCTCATTGAGAAAAATGGCAGCTTGTAGACTATCAAAGGCTGGTGAACAAAGCTACCTGTGACAGAGCAAGTTGAGGAGTGCTGGAGGCAGTGGCATACTTAGCTGAATGAGCAACACTTAGCATGACTTCTAGGAGCTACACCTTGAAAAGTGTATTTCAGACTTATTTCAGAAGAAAGTCTTCGTTTGGAAGTGAATGTAGATCAGCCAGACAGATCTCAGATTAGCTTTGAAGTTCCATTTTGTTTTTCTTCTGAACTTTGGCTCCTCCGAAGTTTAGGGATGACATTGAAATATACAAGATGTTGAAACACACTATCATTTATCTTCATGTTTCTTTAAAAGTCACTGAGTTGTGGCCTCTAGAGATCATCTAATCTGTCTCACTGTGTTCAAACAGGGTCAGCTGGAGCAAGTTGCCCAGTACTCCACTACTGAGTTTTTTATATCTCCCCAGATGGAGACTTTACAGGCTCTCTGGACAACCTGTTCTAGTACTTGACACTAAAAATATTAAAGATTATTCTTGTTTTCAGATAAATTTTTGTGTGTCTTTTTCTAAATCCATGCCTATTGTCTCTTGGGACCTTTGTTTTTCATTTTTTATTTTCATAATGGAACACTGAAAACTGCTAAGTTTTCTATTACTTGTAGATTTTTATGCTTAAAATATCTGATAACCTGAAAAAGCATGCAAAAGCTGAAATGAAACATAGTTTATTTTTCACTGCCTATATAATATGTAAGCTCTGATGTCTTCAAAGTAATATTGTTTCAGTTGTGATTTTTTTTGAAGAATGAATAACAAATCTTAAGAGGATATTGCATTGCCTTTTTTTTTATTACTGTTTGTCATTTTCCAGTGGAAACAAATTAATTTCCCCATGAAAAGAAAATAACACTGTTTTTAAAGTTTCTGAAAGTCAGTGGGACTGACACAGAAAACACTCCTCTATTTTCTCATCAGGCTTGAAATTGAATTTTGAAGGCAATGCTGTATGAAGCTTCAAACTACAAATGATAGAGATTCTTCTCTTCCTCCTCGCTGTTCATCTTGGTAGGAAAGTGAAAATCAATGCTTTGAAAAGAGGGAAAAGAAACCAGGTACTGTGCTTTTTATTTAAACACCAGTGGTCTGATTTGTTGCTCATTGTTACAGACATCAAGAGAGGCAAAGGAGTCTGCAGAAAAGACCCAATTCTTCAATGTGCCTGCCTTCCTGACAGTTTCTGGCCAGCTACATTTGGAAGTAATGGCAGGGTGAGCAAAATTAGATGTTTTCATCTTTGTGGGATATTTCCAACTGGTAATTTTGGTATCCATTATATATCTGTCATGGTTATCTGCCAGAAGTGGATTGAGTGGCAGTGGCTGGGTGATGGGCATGGTGAAAGGCCAGCCTAGACAGAGGGCTGGAGCATCTGTTGTATGGACACAGGCTGAGAGAGCTGGGGTTATTCATTTATATCATTTATCCAGGCATTCAGCCTGGATAAGAGGAGGCTTCAGGGAGACTTTAGGGCACCTTCTAGTACTTAAGGGGCTACAAGAGAACTGAGGAGGGGCTTTGGACAAGGAGTGACTGGGCAAGGGGGGATGGCTTCAGATAGCAAGAGGAAATGTTTAAATTAGATATTAGGAAGAAATTCTTTACTTGAAGATGGTGAGGCACTGGCACAGGTTTACCAGAGAAGCTGTGGCTGCCCCATCCCTGTATGTGTTCAAGGCCAGGTTGGGTGGGGCTCTGAGCAACCTGGGGTAGTGGAAGGTGTCCCTGCCCATGGCTGGAGAGTTAGAACAGCATTGTCTTTGAGGTCACTTCCAGAACCATTCAATGAGTCTATACTCTGAAGGGTCTCAGAGCATCTAGAGAGTTAATGCTGTGTGATGTATCTGTGCAATGCTTTTGCATCTAGAAGAGCTTAATTTATTTTTGAAGACTGAAGGGATTCAATACCACTTGAGCGGCAGGCCTCAAAAACTCAGTGTACTTAAATAAAATAAAAATAAAAGGAGCAGGTTCCCAGAACAGCTATGCTCCATTACGAATAAACACATCTAATTTTAGATGGCCCTGGATTCATTCAAAATGCCTGTAAGAACAGCACACTACTGTAAAATAGGAACATGAAGAAGTAATGTACTGCATGCTGAAGAGAATTGATTTTTCTATTTATCTGTCCTTAGAGAGCAAGGTACATCTGAGTGATATCAATGGAAAAAGTATTTACCAGACAGGTAATCTGCCAAGTTTAGCTTTCTGCTCTATCTTAGAGCAGACTGTGTACTATTTGAGGGGTACAGCCTGATGTAATAGAGTGAGGTTGTATTTCAGGTTGATCATTAGAATCCATGTTCTGTCTTTGAACTTATCTGAATTGTGGAATTACATCTTTCAGTAAAGGTCACAGCACTTGATAGTCAATTAAGTCTAACACAAACTCATGTCGTCTCATCTTCCAGGGACAAAATTCTCCCCCCTTCAGTTAAACAAATCTCTTCCTCATTAACTTTCCCCAGCTAATATCTGAGATTATGCCAGTCTTTCGCTGTCAAGTGACCTGTGCTTTGGCCACAGCAGGGAGGGCACCACATGAGAAACATCCTGTCTATCAAAAATGCCTAGCTTGAGTATTTCAGCATATCACAGACATTGAGCTGGTCTGAGAAGAGACCATGTCTCTCAGGGAGAACAAACCAGGCAGAAAAGAGATTTCTGAAAAAATTTATATGTTTTGATTTGTATGCAAAAATTGCCCTTTGGACAATTTCACCGCAGCTGTTTATCAGCAGCCAATTAAACTGTGCAACAATGATTACATTAAAAAAACTCCAGCACTGATTCTCAACATTGCATATGAGGCATGGTCATCAAATACTATTAGAAATACAGGTCAGAACTCCCAGATGAAAAGGCCAGTCTTTAAAGTACACATTTTCCAAAGCTAGGATTTTATCCCTCCCATTTTCAGAAGGTCACCACAGTAACTGATCACTTTAAAAGTGTTTCTAAAGTTACCATAAGTTCACGATGAACCCCCTTGGTGCGTGGCAAACAACTGCAGTGCTACCTCCCTCAGATCTGGTCTCTGACAGGCTCTATCAGCAGTCCAGCTGGCCAGCAGTGATTTGGCTGAAGTACCATGTCTGAGGAGAACCCACATTGCAACTGCTCAGAAAAATGTGCCTTCCAATAAGGGTTATTGTGCTGATTTCATGCCAGCTACTCAATATACTAATTCAGTTAATTTATTGGGAAGATTCAGTGTAGATGAAGACCAAGCCCATTATGAAAGAGAACTCTCTCTTTGAAAGACATGACACTTTCACACTTAAAGTAGTAAAAAGTAAGTCTTCCACCTCCAAAATGAAAATATTCTGGTGTTCCAAATAAACAAATCAGGTAAAACATAAACATTTATCTGTTTTGGATTTGATTCCATGAAATTTACCCTTTATTTTAGCCAGACTAAATTCTTCATGTCTGTAAAATTATCTAGTCTTCAAAAATCAACCTTTAGCTTAAATATAATGTTGAGTGTTGCAGTCTTAAGACTCTCAAGAACACTTTGTTCTTGATAGTTTGTGGGAGGAGACTGAGGTAGAAATGCTGAGGAGAACCTTCCCCATCCAGTTTTGACCCATGTTCTCTTGTGACTTGTAGACCTTGGGAGAGAGACAGATCCTGCAGAAGTCCGTTAGAAAGCAGAGGTGGAGCAGGATAGGTGTGAGAGGCAGGTAGGAATTTGTCCTTTGTGGGGGTGTATGTGTAGAAGGGGAACAGAAGGTCAGATAGGCAGTCATGTAATTTTGGGGTTAGCTTTTAGCTTTACAGAGCTTATCGGCAGCCTCAAAGCTGTGGTTGGAAAAGTCTGGAAAGGGAGGTATGGAGAAGACTTACCAGATGAGTCTGGACTCTCATCTTCTGTGTCCTTGCAGAGAGTTCATCTGCAGACCACAGGGTATCACCTGAATGTCCATGCTTAAGTGTTGTCCAGGGCTCAGGGTTCTGTTTCATGGCAGGGTTGCTTGGGATGCTATTCCTGATCACAGGAGAGAGCAGTGAGCCATTTTTAGTTGGTGAGTTTTTTCTTTGAGGAAATGTGGGAAGAGAGATGTTCCTGCATTTATTGATGGTCTACTGTGCTATGTTATTGAAGGCAAGGTCAGAGGAGTCCATCTTGTCTCCCAGTGCGACACAAGCGGCCTACTTGGCACAACTTCTTGTTTCATTGTGCCTCATCTCGGCAGTGACAGCATCTAGGCTGTCTGCTCTGCATGTCTGAATCATTGTCAGCTGCTGTAAATCTATGGGCTTTCTAAGGTCTCCAGAAAAGTCTTTATTCAGTAATACAGCTCTCCCCTTCAGTCTCCTCAGTCTCTGATGAGTCAGTAACCAGCGTGCGTGGTAGGAGTGTAGGGCTGTCTGTGTCCTGATATCTGATTTTAAATGTCATTGGTTTGCTGTGAAGTCCATGTGGTATTTCCTTTTCCCCAATCCTCTGGTGAGGACAAAGGCCCCTTTGCGGACCTGAACTGGGCTGGAGGGTCTGTGACAGCTGAAAATAATTCAGAGGCGTACTGGAGACAGCCAAAGCCAATTGTTGTCAAGAAGTGCAGCTCTGCAAGAAGTTTCTCCGAAGACAGGCCTACTCTTTGCAGTGGTGAATGACAGGAGGACAAGAGACAATGAGGATAAGCTGAGAAAAGGGAAGTTCTCAGTGGATATAGGGGGGAAAATAATGGAGAAATTAGTCAAGCATTGGAAGAGATTGATGAGAGAAACTGTGTGCTTTTCATCAAAGATGCAGCTAGGTGGAACTGTGAGCTGGTCTGGCCTTGCTGCCCTTCTGCTTTGAACAGAAGACTGGACCAATGACCTCCTGAGGTCCCTTCTAGCCCAAGTAATTTTCTTCTTTGAAGTTTCTTCTTGCTCTTGTTCTCATTGTCCTCTCCACCTATTTCAGGCACAATATCATCTTGGTGAATGATCTCTCTAGTTCAATTTCAGTTCAATATCCCCAGGACTTGTGTTTTCCTGCTAACTTAAAATCTCAGCCCTTAATTCTGACTTCTGCCTGTTAACACCTACTTATCAAACTTGGTTTAGATGCAGCATAATTAATCCCCCTCTCCTCAATCACATCCCCTTGATTGCTAAACCATCGTGTATTCTGCTGCTCTTCTGCCTAATCCAGATATTCTTTGCAATCCTGCAACTGATTTTGAAGGTTGCAGAGAGGCTCTAAAAAGCATCCAGACTATTTTGACTGTGTCTGCCTGAGATTGTAGAGAGCTGAACTCAGTGAATTTCCTGTCGTTTGGAGAAGGTACTAAGTCACACTGATTTCACTTTTAAAATGCCAGTACTTCAGTGTTTTTCAAAGCATGGAGGATGGAGAATGAGAGAGAGAGCTGTGATTTTGATGTTCAAGCAAACACTGCAGAGCTCAAAAGAGATGTGTTTGAGGCTGCCTTCCATAAAAGAGGCTTCATTCTCAGCAGTCTGGCAACACACTCTCTTGAAATTTGATTCCAAAATGACTTGCTAATGATGAAACAGATTGCATTGTCTTTTAAACAAATATTTGCTCTACACTGTACAATTTTAAATGCTTCTGAATGCAGCTGCAGGAATGATGTCCAGTTGTATAACATTCCTGTTGCTAAGAAGTAACAAAAATAAGTGTAATTATTTATCTTGGGCGTCTGAAAAAAATTTCTTACATTTCTTGCACAATATTTGTTTGAGTCTGAGTCATAATGCAGACTCTTATAATTAGTGCACTAACTTCCATTAATTAGGCTGACACTTAATTGGATCTATAAAAAGCTACCGTGGCATGTCTGGTTTTAATCAATTACTGCATACTTCAGTCTGGTTCACGACTACTGCAGTGATTGTTAATGACTTTGTATTACTGGGAGACCAAATACATGAACTCCATAGGTACAACAGTGAGTCTAGAGCTGCTTGGCTAGTTGGAGCTTTACAGTCCACATAGATGTATTGTTGGTCCTTTTTACCTCTCCACCTTTTTGGGAGGGTAAGCAGGTAATCCGCTTGCAAGCATGGTGAGTGTGTGCTGAGGATAGGTGCAGTTCAGCCATGTTCTGGGATCCTCACATGGAGAAGGGCTGAATGCTATCCCAGTAGTCTTGGAATATGTGCTCTTTGTGCTATGTCCTTGCTGTAATTAAATCAAAAAATTAAGTGCAGGTAGCAAGAGAAGAACCAATTTTATGCTCATCTGGTGAAA